CAGCAGGAAATATTTGGACATCCAACTTCACATTTTATACACTTCGTTCAGAACTTCGGCTACATCACTACTTCCTTACAATAAACAAAAGATGCAAAACTGCTGCCTTTGCCTTCCTACGCCTACCTAATCTCAAAAGCTTCAAAACTTAGATTTGAATTCTTCCTCTTAGACGAAGGGAAGATCATGCAGGTTACTCAGAAGATCCTCCGTAGCCTCCAGGTCAATGTCAAAGTTAGCAATACCCTCCCCCTCTGAAGCAGGAGCCACTGTGCCACCTGTCGCACCCCCAGTCTCCTGCTCTTCAACCTCGGAATCAGTTTCTCCAAAAAGATCTATCTTTCTCTCATAATTACCTACACGCTTCTTTGCAACCATCTTCTTATTTCTCATGGGCAACCCTCTCTTTTTAGGCCTTACAAAACTCCCCATCCTCCTACTATTCTCCGCATCAGCATTAGGGTGTCCCACAACAGCATTAACAGGCACCGCATTCAGAGGCTTCTCCTTATGTCCCTCCTTTTCGTTCCCCCACCTCGGGCTCACCGGAAAGAATGGCTTCCACCCCTCCCCAAATGGAGGCACACCGGCAGCATTACAGTTAGAAAAGCCACAACCAGGGAACCCTAATGGAAAAAACCCCCACGCACAATAATACATGTCGGTCCCCGGCACTATAGTGGGCGCAGCTGCCATCTCAACAGCATGAAAAGGCCGCATACAAATCCGGCACCGAAGCGTACGTTTAATGTAAACACGATCGTACTCAAAAACGTGGCAGCAAGACGGACACGAGGTCCAGAACAAACGATCCGCCGGCTGAGCAACAGTCGCCGGAGCGCTGTTTGATCGCAGCTGGGATTCGTAAACGGATGCTTTAGTGGGGTCGGAAAGAAAGGTGTAAGCGTCAAATACTATGCGTAGAGCGGTGTCAGCGTAGGGATACTTGTTACGATTAGGGCTAAGCAAAAAAGTAAGGTGCCGGTAGCTACGTTTAATGTCAAGTCGATTGTCGCCGGAACCAGAAACGGAAGAGGAAGGGTGAGGGAGTTGGAGAATGGAGTACCAGTCGTGTTGGTTGTTGACACGGCGCTGGGAGGCTAGAAGGACATCTACGACGGCGAGGATCTGGTCAACACCGTCGAGAAGAGGATCAGACTCGAGAGCTCGCTCCGCGAAGCGCTTGCTTCCCGTAAGATCACTAGCTAGGAGGTATTTGTCGGCGATTTCGAGTAGACGCTGAGCTTCAAATCGGCCGCCATAACCGGCGTCCATGGTTTCCCGATACTGGTGCCGGATTTGGGGGAAATAGGAAGCGAGGGAGTGGAGTAAGAAGTGTGAGAATTGGCGCAATTGGGGTATGGATTTTAAACTAATTACATTGTGGAGTGAGTGGTTTACTGTTGTATTGCGCTGTTTGTAGGGGTATTTTGGGGGGTTTTTCATTGGTTCCTTTTCTGCGATGAGGTTTGAGACTTGCACCTTCGCCGTCGAGACTAGAATGTTCAAAGGCACCGGCAAACGGGACCGTGAAATGACCCAAGCAGCAAGGACAAAAGAGGTCTTCAGATTCGTGCAATTATGGCGGGGTGAGTTGGACCGCAGAAAATCCCCCACCTGTGCTGACTGAAAAATGCTAATAGGATTTTAACATTACTTAGAAAAAAAAACTTATGTAAAATGATCCCACTTTTTTTTTTTTTAATGCAATGCAAAAAAAATAAATCCTGTGAATGAATTTATAATAATAATGAGAGCCGACAACAGGCGTCTTTTTTCTTTCTTTTTTTTGCTTTGGCATATCTGCTCCGTCCAATTATTGCATGTACGGTCCTGATTCCTAGAGTTTAGATGTGCATTTGAATTATTGTATTTGAATTATGTGATAAGTTTATTCTCTCATTTTTTTTTCTTTAAACGTGCATTTGAATTATTGTATTTAGAAAATATAAAAAATTATGCAGATATGTATATATGATGTAAGAAAATAAATCATTTTATTTACGAGTATAAAGAGAGTTCGCTATCATCATTTATATATGACAAAAGAAAATAACTGTTAAGGACACGCTTAACACAAAAATTGACGGTCATATTACAATCATGAGGCCTATAAGAAAAAACAAACTTGTTTATAGTTCAACAAAAAGGCTAGTTCCGGTGCAATAAGCGATTGTCGATGCCACATCTTCTGTGTCATAAAGGAATGAAGCCCATCCATTACATTTGAGTTATCCCCTTCAATAATAATTTATTTAAATTCAAACATCCAAGGTCGGCGTCGAGGGGAGGAAGCTGGGAAGATGAACGAACCAGCCCCGAGGATTTGTTATCATCCTAGTGCCCTCGAAATGAGTAAAAAATGAGTCTTGGTAAAGGCCACAATAACTGTCGCAGCAATGATGGAGGGAGTGTCACACATTAGAGCACGAGTCTTAGCGTAACGAGCACGCTAAGAGTGATGAATTGTGTAGCAGAAACATCCAGGTCGGTCTGTAAAGTCCTTTCGGGTAGAATTAAGGCCCTCGATAGCTTCAGCAAAGGTATTATAGTTAGAAAGAGAAAATCCCCAAGAGCACAAACTATCTTTAACCCTGCACAATAATAAATAATTAGAAATAAGATTGTTATGGTTCTCCACACTGTGACAACCCAAGGACATGCAGTATCAATCACAAGGCCCCTCCTGGCGAGCCAAATACGAGTAGAAATAGTGTCATGGAGAAAACGTCGTCAAAAGAAGCGCTCTCACAAATGAAGTTGAAGCTTGTGAAGCCCCATCAATTGCAACCTGGCATTAGGAAATCTAGTCTCATAGGCTAAGAACATGATCGAACCGACCCCGAGGATTGGCCAGCATCCTTGTGCCCCTGAAATGGGCAAAATTGTGTCTAAGTAATGGGCTCAAGAACTGTCGCAGAAATAATGGAGGGAGTTTCATGCATTAGATCGCGAGTCTTAGCATTACGAGTACGCTAAGAATGATGAATTGTGTAGCAGAAACATCTGGCTTGGGCCATAAAGTCCTTTCAAATAAAACTAAGACCCTCGATTGCTTCGACAAAGGTATTATAGTCAGGAAGAGAAAATCCCCAAGAGCACAAACTATCTTTAACCCTACACAACAATAAATAATTAGAAATAAGATGGTCACGGTTCTCCACACTCGGACAGCCCCAACGACATGGGGCATCAATCGTAAGGCCCCTCTTAGAAAAACAAATACGGGCATGAATGACATCATGAAGTTGAAGCTTGCAGAGCCACATCTATTGCCACCCGGCATGAGGAAATGTAGCCTCATAGGCTAAAGCAGTTATGGTCTTCCCAGTATGAATTTTTCTTAATTGAATGCAATCCTCATTCATATATTGATGGATTTCAGATTGAGTGATTAGTGCAGTCTTTTCTTGCTGAAACAATTAGGTTTGATACTTGTTTGTCTTCCAAGGCGCTAATATTAGCAGGACAAGGCCAACGGTTGATGGGAGTATCAAAAATCCACACCTGATTTAAAATGCTATGATGTTCCCATTGACAGTGACAGCGCGATGGGTTGTAGATCTCGGAACCCCTCGCAAATGACTTTCCACGAGATTAAAGTGTTGCGGTTAAAACTTTGAGCAGAGAAATCAAGCCTATATTTGCTTGTCTAGCATTTATAAAGAATAGAATTCTTGTACTGTAAAAAATTCCATGCAATGAGAGCCCTTAAAAGTCCTTCCCTCCAAATTTTGGTGAGGTCTGTTTTCTTCTCTATAGCCTGGGATCTAGTCATAGAGTTTTCCTACTAACACTTCTAGAGGACTAGTATTGGGACCCGCATCACTTAAAAATTCAAATCACTTATTGACTCTTTGTAGTCTCACTTGTGTTGTTTCAAATCCTCGATACATAGTTGAGTTAATCGGAACCAACATATTGAAACTCAAGCTGAATTCTTATAAGGACTGGAAATGCCTTAGGAAGACTTTTTGGATTTAGGGGTTTTCAATTTTTGAAACAATATACACATAATTATTCACACATACAAGCACCACAATTAACATCATCTATACTTACATACACATCACCGCTAAATCAGAATTAAAACCAATCAATCACAAACAAAAATTCAAAGAAAATCAAATTTGACTCATTTTTAACATCTATTTGAAACCCTTCGAAATGTGTTGAGAGGCGCACAGTCGAGATAGTCCGGCCAAAATTGGCTCTCGCTTAGGGGGAGGTCGGTCGCTTTTTTGCTTATCAGACGACTATGATCAGATCTACAAATATTATTTGTAATTTCGCGCAAATCATACTTGAATTGGCTTGATCATCAACAAATTTGTCTGGATGACCCGGATGATAAAATAGATCACGTGAGCATGCCTGGAACGTTGATTTTACCTAGGGAGGACATCCACGTCGATATGGTTCTAAAGAGAAGCAAATTGCATACAAATTAGAGCATTTAAACACAAAATAGTAGTAATAAAATAATTTTTTTTAAAGATAAAACTCTTTAAAACCCTAGTTTTCCTCGCTCGCCCTCTCTCCCTTTTTGACCCAAAACCCTTGCTCACCCTCTCTCCCTCTTCGACCTGAAATCCTCGCTCATCATTCCCTATTCTCCCTCTTCGACCTAAAACCCTCGCTCATCATTCCCCCATCTCCCTTGTGGCATCTTGAGGTGACCCCCCTTCCCCTCTGCCCGAAAGAAGGTCCTTCCTCCCCTGCACTCGAAGACCTCGTCTGCTTCACTCCACGTGACCACACGTCGCCTCACCTCCGAGCTTCCTACTTTGGTAAGTCTTCGATCCCTTGGGATCTCATCTCTGATGCCCTCGCTCAGCTAAATCTATCTCTTCTTCCACACTCGACGGTGACAATGCCTTAGTTCCTCCCACCCATCACCCTTTCTTCCCAAAACATTCGTCTATTTTACTCTGGGAACGGAACGAAGACTCCCCAACCCTCAATTAAAAAAAAAAAATTGCTCTCTCTTATGATCTTCTCCCATCACTTGATAGGATATCACACCCGCACTTGGCCCAGGATTGGGGTTTCTTAGTAGTTTTTTAGCGCCTACCTTTCAAGATCCTTGGATGAGTCGACTTGGTCGGCCGACACATGTTCAGGTCTCGACCGCTTCTCTTTCTTTACGAAATTTTTCTTCTTTAGAAAGGCATGGATCTGAAAGCCTATCATGCCCAGAAGTTCATTGTTTATCTCATCCTGGCTCGCATCATCTGCCATGAAGGCACTCAGCTATTTAGGGGAAACTAGCAGTAAAAAACAAAATGTCAACCTTATGGTCATGTTTATAAGACCCACCGGGCACGAAATCCAAAGATAATTTAATTATGAAATTATTTTTCTCAATTTTGGTATCACTGATTGTTTAATAGTTTTCATGTTTCTATCGTAGTTGTCACTATCAATAAGTAGAAAAAACTTGCGAGTTGATATGTATGCACCAAAAATGTCAGCACAAATTTCAAAGCAATCAAACAGTCAAGGGTGATGGTTGAACAATTGAAACATCGGGCTAAAGGAGCATGGTCTGGACAAGCCATTTGACTACCAACCACTCGATCAAGTTGGTCGATATGCAATGTCGGTGGATCTAAACGGTGGGCCACACTTACGGTTCCAGTTATCTAAACTCCTTGCAAGGACGTCCAGTCACAATCAGTCGACAACTGCTTTACCTCGGTAGGAGCAATAGTTATGCGGCAGGTCACCTTGGATTGTCGAACTCAAACACGTCGACCAATTGATAGTCGTTGTATTGCACTTAATTTATAAACCAAATCTGATGTTAAATTAGCACATTAAATGCATTAAGGGCAATTTCCATAACCATTATCTTATTTCTGTAAATGTACAAATAGGTCACCATAAATAGAGGGTAGATGATGAAAAAAGGACTTTCCCCCGAAATTCTCTAACTACTCTACTCTCTCTTCTCTCTCTCTCTCTCTCTCTCTCTCTCTCTCTCTCTCTCTCTCTCTCTCTCTCTCTCTCTCTCTCTCTCTCTCTCTCTCTCTCTCTCTCTCTCTCTCTCTCTCTCTCTCTCTTTCTCTTTTTTTCTCTCGGCTCCAACTCTCAGGGCATGTATTTCCAGAACATGTATTTCTGAAGAACAATCTAGGATTCAACAGTGTGACAACTTCATATGAGTATAATTAAAAAGAAATTAGATTTAAATTACCAAAATATTACCCCGTTCAATTTTAAGTTAAAGCATATGCACTTAATTATTATTATTTTTGTTTTGGGTCGTGTATTTATAGATATATTATTTCGATTGGAGTAGACCCAAATAACTCAAAATTAATTTATTTAGTACTCAGGTACAAGTTAAATGGCTTTAGATTAAATTAATCAAGTTAAACAAGTCACATCTAAGTTAATTGGATCATGTTGATTAATAAAAAGATCCATGTAATAAACATATCGAACTAGTTAGGTTCATATTAGACAAGCTCAGATTAAGTTAGGTTCGTTAATTCTTGCTATATAGTAAACGAGTTAGATTCAAGTCAGATATCTTGAGTTGAGTCAACTTCAGACCCGATCCTGGCATAGTAGTGTGAGCGGTATAGTTTGAGGATTATGATATGTATACATTCAGTGCAATGAACTACTTGCTATGGTTAGGCCTCCTCGCTGATTTGAAATGTTATCTCTAATTATGTTTCTCTCTATGTCATTAATTTTAATTTTAAATTTGATAATTCACTTACAATGTATTATCAGGAGATAATTAAAATATCAACTAGTTCTTGTCCCAATTAGGTATTTTGCACGATTAAACATTATGAAATTTAAAAATTTCAATATTTTTAACAATATGATTAACTAGTTAATTAATTTAATAACTTAAATATGAATTTATTAACCGATTTTGATTAACCTTTTTTTGGATGAAGTCTACCTGCTTGGTGGCTCGAACTTATGAATAGCTTGCAGCTTAAACATCGTTCAAGCGATTCATGTTAATGATTTCATTAAGAGTGTGGATGTCATTTTGGGATTTTCGATTAATAGGGTACAGGTCTCATTCAATATTAGTTTATTCAGGCATATGGAAATTAGCTAGGAAGATTAATTATGATTATAATTCTTCTGTTTAATCGATAGATAGTATGATGTCTTTGTCATGGCCGATGTGCAAATGCCAAAAAAAAATGTTGGCGTCTGTTGTCGGCTAACTCTTCATTCAACACAGTGATTTTGATCGGTGACTAAAATTTTAAATAATGAAATCAATCTTGTTTTTATACTAGAATGAATGAAAATAAGAAATACTTTTGTTGACATATGTTGTGTGTTGCTATATTTATAATAGTATTAGTGAAATATTAATATCTTAGTGTTGTGCGAAAATCATACGCTCATGGATAGAAGAAAAAACTGACAGAGAGAATAACATGAAGGGCAAAGCCCAATTGAAATAATTCAATCATGTCGGTGTAGGTTACAAGACTTCAGTGGTTATTGATTAACTGGAAGCAATATTACATAAGTGAGGGTTATTGATGTGACTCTACCAGTGGAGTGATGGAATACATTAGGGAAGTAAAGACGATCCAACTGCCATGAAAGATTACCAACGATAGAGGTCATATTCCATAAATTTTGATGTCAACATCGTCGATAGGGGCGGCCCGACGACTATGGTCTAGCGGTGGCGACAATGATTATTGGACAGCTGAGGTCTAGCGCTGGAGGTGACTCAATGGTGGTGATTAGACAACAGTGGATGGGTGGCAGTGGTGGCCAAATGGTGATGGTATGGTAGCAGCGACAATGGTGGCTAGACAAGTTGGTCCAAAGATAGTGGTCCAACTGTGATGATAATAGTGGTCAGATGGTGACCCGATGATGACAACGACAGTGGTGGCTAAGCAACGTTTGTCATGGCGACACTGACAGTGGTGGTCGGGGAATGGGATTGGTGACGTTGGCCAGATGGTGATGGTTTGATGATGACGAAAACTGTGGTGGTCAAACAACAGTGGTCCGTTGGGGATGATGATGGTGATTTGGCGGTAACGATACCCCGATGACGACGGTTTATCCATGATGATGGTGGTGTCGCGTAATGGTGATCGGATGATGGCAACAATCTAATGACAACTGTCTGCTATTGACCAAATGGTGATGGAGCTGTGACGATGGCCAAATGCCTTCTGTTTAGCGGTGGTGACTGAGCAATGGTGGTCTGACAACAACAGTGGTCAGTCGTGGTAGAGCTTGAGAACCCTCAAGAGCTTAGAGCTCCTTCAACTTTCTCCTCCACGTTCACCCTCTTTCACGAAGAGAGTGGGGGGTCTATTTATGTATTTTGAAAGTTGCATTCTTTGTAAATACTATATGAATCAATACCGCTCCATTTGACGACCCAGAGTGATTCCCATGATCATATATTATTTTTATGAGTATTTGAATGTCTTAATGATGTCTTAATTAAGTGATCTTGTGCTCGCTCAATTCATCTTTTCAAGGTAGTCAAATTGACTATGAACTTTCTTTGAAACTTGTGATCTAAATGTGTATCGAAATTTATGCAAATCAATATGATTTGTTCGGGATGTATCAATGTTCACCTCACGGCTCAACAATTTTATATATGATGTTAAAAGTGAGTATTAAATGCAGGCACCAAACATGCAAAATTAATGCCACCTAACATAGGCGATGTATATTTACAACACTGTTAATTAAAATATATATATATTTCAATCGCCAATAAAATTTTTCAAACATTATTTGTTCATAAAATGGATCGCTCCGACGCATCAAAATGTCAACAATATTTAGTAGGACACTCATGTTATTCGCATTCTACACATAACTGATTCACACTAATGTAGTGTTATGCCACCTGTTGTGTGTTTGGGACTAAAGAGTATTATTGTGTGAGGTTGACTTCATATCTTGGAGCACTACATTATAGCACACTAATGTAGTGTTATATCGAGGGGATTAATTTTTAATCATGTCTATTTTTATTTGATTTTCATTTATTGAGGTGGGGCAGGGGATTCAAATTTGATGATGGCAGTGGCTAGGGGTAGAGTATGTCATATCGGGTCTGAATCGTATGTCAGTGAGCCCAAATTACCACGTGACTCCTTATTATTGGACATCTGATGCAAATTTACATAAGGTGTTTTGATGCAATAATTTCTCTAGGGATAGAATATGTCATATGCGTCAGTTTTGAGGAATGCGAGACAAATAAGACGGCATGAAGCAACGTGGTATAGTTGAAAATTTATGAAGTTTAGGTGATTGGCATGTAGATTGTGAAATTTGGATATTAGATAAATAAATATACAGACCACAAACTTGGTTTTTACAAATCCTACACCTTCTTTCATCCAATTTTCATATTCTAACTTAAATATCAATATTCATGATAAAATCTCAACGCATATTTTTCATTTTTTATGGCAGGCTGAATACATTGACAGTAGTTCCAAAAAATCATCTTGAGGGTTAAGTTATAAATATCAACGTTTTTGTAGATCTGAATGTAATTTTTCCTTCAATACAATGGTTTAATGGTTTAAGTGGCATTTACGTAAATTTCGCATTTGGATTGTTAATTTGTCGCGATCAACATGCAGGCGACAAGGAAGATGACGGAGAAGGATTGATTACGCGATTACTCTTCCATTTCGTTCTTACCTCCTCCCGATCATTTAGGGTTAGGACGCCATGGGGAGTCCTGCGGCGGCCAGGGCGTCTTCCTCTCCGCAACGGAATCAGCAGCGGCTTCCTGGTACGACCGAGCAAGTTAGGGTCAAGCGGGAAACCATTCAAACGGTACTGGATCAGTGCCAGAGAGCGTTGAAACTTCTGGAGGATCCCGACTTGATCGTCGACGCGGAACCTGATGTTAACTTCAGCGTTGAGGGGAAGGAGGAACCGCCGTTATCGTTCTCCACAGCTGATTCTGATGCCGATGCCGATGCCGTAAGGATTTTCTATCGTTGTTTTTTAGTTCTTTAATCCTTATTATAGCAGTTCATGTCATCTTAGGAAAAAACATTATATAGAAGTTTATGTGGGTATATCAGTCAATTGGTAGATTTGGGTTTTCTTTATGTTGGCTGAAGCGGGCGCCATCCATAATCGTAGTTTCTAAAAAAATAGAGTATGGTTTGTGGCAACTAGGCTTTTTAATCACTCATTTGTCGGTTTAGATGTGTTTTTGTGCAATGTTTGATGCGTACTTATCACATCTCAATTGGGAAGTTTCAACCTGAAACTAATAACACTTTTGCAAAAGACCTCAGCTAGACATTAAATTGGTATCATAACTTAAGACAGCTTTTACAAAATCAATTAGTTAAATTGCTAAATGAAGAAACTCAAATATGTGAAGCAATTAATATGATATGAGCACAAATTGAAAATATTGAAACTAAAATTTATTCACATGTCCTATCATAATGGTGAGCTGATTGAATTAAAAAGAAATATTTTTTGGGGGCAGGGAAATGACCATGATAGATACCATACATTATTTAATAATGACGTATATGAAAACCATTGATGGAAAACTTTTGACATGTATGATGAAAAAATAAATAGTCAGATTTGAAGTTTCTATTTTTTGTTGTTGAAAATGATCTTTACATTTTTATTGACTAGCTAATGGATATAGACAATTTCTTTGAACTATAAATTATGTTTAATGAGTTCAGGTGCCGCATCGACATATGCTAAAAGTTTCCTAGTAGGAACTTGAATATTAAATTGTGAATAATAAAATAACTTTTTTTTATGTCATTCATGAATTTAATAAGGTGATTAGTGATTTTGAGGATGCTTTAGTTGACAAATGACAATTCTTTGAATGTTATGTATTGCATATGTTTGGACGAGATGTAATTTTTCAAATCTACTTCTGGCATGAGGAAAACTTTGCAAGCTTTTATTAAAACTATATTTGCATGAATGTAATGTTTTAGTCTGATCTAGATCAAATGAATTTGAACCTATATCACTTCCACATTCATATAAGGTTAACATAGATAAAATTGCTGGTTTTATGTCTCATAGATTTTAATTTCTATTAAGTTGGGTGCATATGCAGAGAGAATTTGGTTTGATATGTTAACTCATGGATATTACTCAAGTTATTCTAGCTAAACATTGGCTATATGATTTAAATGTTACCTTATTTTGTATGGTCTGATACTTATGCTTTCAAGATTAAGTAGACAAGGGTTGATCTAAAGTCTATAAGACATAAAACTAAGGGTCTGTTTGGGGCTGCTCCAGTTTATTCAAAGATAGATGTGAAACTGCTGGAAAATAATTTGATGTTCAAAAAACTGTAACATTTATTACAAATTTTTTTTTTTGAAAAGTTAGACCGCAGCTAAAAAGCTATCAGCTCACTTAGTCAGGACTGACGGAAAAACGCAAATTTTAGTGGCAGTTTTTTGAAAAAAATGTCAAAACGTAATTTACCCAAACAACAAAACTACGGTATGGTGACACACCACCACCGCACTGCCGCCCTAAACGAACATAATAGTCTCAATAAAGTGTAAATGTTCTTACATATAACTTGCATTTTACAAATAATAGGCATGAAGGTATTATATCTTCCTTGATATCTATTAAATTAAATGATGTTATGTTTGAGATTGTGATTTTATGTGATGTTTTCAAACAATAGTTAACTATTTTGTGAGATTTTTATCTTCATTAACGTTCTAATGACTATCACTTAGGGATATAAGATGCTATTGATTTATTTTCAGCATTTTTAATGCCTAGTTTTTCTCACTAGAGGATAAATTTAACTAATTATGTTGAGCTTAATAAACATTTATTATTTGCCTAAAAAATGATTATTAAATAAAGCACCGGCCAATATATTATTGATTTATTTTTTCGTGTTGACCACACATATTTTGAATATTTAAATAATCAAACACGGCATCGAAAGTAATAGACTATCTCGAAAGATAGAAATATCACTTCACGATTGATTCAATTATTCAAATAAAGAATTTATTCAATATTTAATAGGTCTGCGTTTTAAACCAATAAATTTTTCCCCTACCTAGCTCGAAGGCTAGGTTAGATAGAGTATAGATTAATTTGAGTTACTAACTTTCTATAAGGGCAATCTTTTACAGTTAATTACATTTTAAGAGACAAAATCTCTTAAGAAAAGTCTCAATTAAATTGAGATTAAGTCTTCAAGAATTTCAAACTTTAATTTTCTTGATTATTTATTTGGAATTTTCAAACGGGAAAAATCAATATGGAACAGTTCTTCTTGGGACCCAAATGAGAAAAGATAGGAAGTATTTGTATACTGAGAAACTTAGTGACATTCCATATATTATGCTGTTCGATTTTATTGATTTTAAAATGGAAGTGATTTTATGTTTAAGTTGATACTTTATTAAAAATTTTAAGAGTTATATTTATGATATCTGATCGTATGAAAACCTCGGAGGTGAGTGAGAACTTGTACGTAACTAAACAAAGAATCTCGACCCTAAGCCTAAACATGAGATCTACTAAACAAGTAAAATCTTTAAACCAAGTCTAAATAAAAATACAACAAACAGAGATTTATAGCTCAATCCCACAAAGGACTTGAGCAAGCCCTACTCTACTGTACTAACGTCCCTGCATGGATAGGGCTGTCAGCTAAACCCACCTAGTTTCATAAAATCATATATGATCGGTCTCATGGAATGCATGATATGATAGACTGTTGTTTATTAGAAGAAATTAGATCTTACAACTTGATTATAAAATCAAGATGCCTATTATATGACCCATATGCAAATGTTCTAAGACTAATGACAAATATCTTTATTTAAAATTTCAAATTTATAATTTTTTATGCTCACCACATTCATTTTTTTTAGTTAATTATTAGTGTCGAGTGGGAAAATATGATGTGTATGAGTATGCAATCCTTGATGATTCATGTATAAAAATTAATTTTATAGGACAATTAAATATACGAAGACATGCTCACTCTATAAGATGGTGATTCTTAAAAGACAAATAAACCCATTTTCGTGCAATGAAAGTGAGTCTAAAGCTAATGAATATAATCAATATGTAATGCATATGCCTAAGGGTGATTTTCTATTCCTAAATCGTAAGATTCCTAGGTATTTTTATTTTTTCATTTTAGTATTTATAAGACTTGATGTCTTTAAGATGTGAATGCAATGTATTATTTAATTTTATTATTTTGATCGAGTTTTCATTTTGAAGAATTATATTTTAAGTTGCATAAGTTGGGGCTAAAAAAAATAGTCCTTAAAGGGCATTCAAAACAATCTAGGCTAAAGCCAAACATACCGTCAACAAATGAAGAATTATATTTTTATTTTATGTGATATTTATCTTGATAAACTTTCTTCTTATTATCACTTAGGGATATATAAGATGCTGTTGATTTTATTTTCAAGATTGTTATTGCCTAATTTTTCTCACTTTAAGATAAATCTAACTAATTATGTTGATCCTAAGAGACGTTTATGATTTTCCTAAAAAAGAATTATTAAATAGAGCACTATTCTATATATGGTTGGTTTATTTTTTGGTATCCACCGCACAATTTTTTAATATTTAATTTATTCAATTAATCAAACACGACATTAAAAATAATATACTATATCGGAATATAGAAATACTATTTTATGATGGATTCAATTATTCAAATAAAATAATTATTCAATATTTGATGACTCTACGTTTTAAACTAACAAATCTTTCCCATACTTAGCTTGAGGGCTAGGCTAAGTAGAATTTAAATTAATCTAGGTTACTAACTTCCTATAAGGGCAAACTCCTGTAGTTAATTACATCTTAAGTGGCAAATTCTCTTAAGAAAAATCTTGATTAAGCTAAGGTTAAGTCTTCAAGAATTTTAAAGTTTAGTTTTCAAGATTGTTTATTTAGAATTTTCAAATGGGAAAAATCAATATATAACAATTCATATCGGAACCCAAAAAAGAAATGGTAGGAAATGTTCTGATACTGAGAAGTTCATTAACATTTCGACTATCCTACTGTATGACTTTATTGTTTTGAAATTGAAGAAATTTTATGTTTAAACTAACATTTCATTAGAAAGTTTCGAACTTATATCTATGAGATATTTGATCCTAAGAAAACTTAGGAGATGAGTGAGAACTTGTATCATAACTAAACAAACAACCTCATAATCTTAAGCCTAAAGATGATGTCTACTGAGCAAGTAAAACCTCAGAACAGAGTCTTAAGATAAATACAACAAGTTTTTATAGCATGATCCCACAAAGGACCCGAGTAAGCATAACTCTACTGGTCTTAAAATACTGTCTAGATAGGGCCACAAGCTATACACGCATAGCATCGTAAAATCATGCATGACTGGTCTCATAAAATGCATGATATGATAGACTTGTTTATTAGAAGAAAGCAGGTCTTATAACTTGATTATAACATCAAGATTTCTATTATATGTTTGGTCTACAAATGTTCTAAAACTAATGAAAAATATATTTATTTATATTCAAATTTATAAATTTTATGCTCGCCAAACTTTTTATTTTATTTAGTTAATTCTTAGTGTTGAGTGAGAAAACATGATGTGTATGGGTATATAATCTTTGATAATGCATGTATAAAAGATTAATTTTATATGTCAAGTCGGTATACAAAGACACTCACTTTATAAGATGATGATCCTCAAAGGACAAATCATCTTTTTTTTGTGTAATGAGAGAGGATCTGAAGACAAGAAATATAATCAATATGTAATGCATATATTGCCTAAGAGTGATCTTTCGTGTCTATTCTTAAATCGAGGAATTACTATTTATTTTTATTTTGTCATTTTATTTTTCTATATTTCATGATGTTTCTAAGGTGTGAATGCAAAATTTTATTTAATTTTGTTATTTTGGTTAATAGGTTTGATTTTGAAGAATTATGTTCTT